ATATATATAAATTATTTTTATCTAATTATCTGGAAGAGATGGAGTTGCTCCCTCTTAAAGACATAAAGCTTTAAAACTTTATGCCACTGTGTGTAGAATTATACAAAAGAGTCTTATAAGTTACTCATTGTTTTCTGCCGTCATTTTCCCCGAATTTACAAGGATTAACGGTATCTATTATGAGAATGCGCTCGTCATGACTGAGCATCCAGTTGAACATTTAAAGAACGTCATCGAGGCTCGCCGCCTCCTCGTAGCTGCAAAGAGACAAAAGTGCCGGCAATGATTTATAGCACCTCTTTTCTGTGATCGTAGGACGAATCGCGAACATACTTCTCGCAATACTTCAACCCATGACTTCCGTTGTTAGAGTAAGATTTGTACATGGTACCATCTAGTAAAGAGGACTTGAATTTTGGCAAAAAATATATCCAGGCTTTCGTCGACTCGCTGACCTGGAAAGGAATGCGTTCGTCAAAAGAAAAGTATAGATGCCTGCTGCATGTATTTTGCAAAAATAAAAATTCGAGTATAAGCTGAATATAAAAAGAAGAGTGACAGAAGCCCAAATAAAGCTTTTAAAAAGTGAAAATTGAGACAATAAAACGTAAAAGATGCGTTTGTTTCTTTTATGTTTCGTTGTCTCAAATTTCGTTTCTTAAAAGTTTCTTTTAGCTTTGAGTTATTATCTCCCCTTATTCGATTTACGTTCTGATTTTCGTCAGGAACTTACGTGCGTAAGTTGATAAGTTCATTACCTCCTCAAAAGTTTTTTCAGACTTAAACGCAGCCTCCGACGCCAGCAAAACTGTTTCTTCCGTTCGCTCGTAAAACTGTGGGTGTTCCTCCAATTCGTCCAATCTCTTCAACATATTGGAATCTACATCATATATTTCTCCGAACACGTACTGTTTAAAAGAAATGTTCTATTACGATTGATATTACAGAGCATTATTCCTACCTTATTAATCGACGTTGATTCGATTCCATTATCATTTCTGACTGGGACGAATAAGAAATTTTTTAAATTAAAATCGCAAGCAGTAAAAGAATATAATTGAAGTGGACGATAATGAAAGATTTAAATCAATTCAATTCAAGGACTTCCCCAGTACAATTCATTGACAATACATTGTACAATTCATTGATAATACATTGTAAACATTAGCATACATTGAGAGTATATTGGATTAATATTGCGTCAATGAATTGCTACTAAGTTCTTTCTCAACTCACGTTGCCAGTATTGGGTTTTTTCAGCAGAAACGGGATGTTATACTTCGTGGCGATCACCAAAGGATATTGGACTGTTGTTTTGCCGAGGCCTAGGAACTTGGCGTAGCCATTCGCAGTGTCCTTCATAAGACCGTGATTCGGCTCGCTTTGTTTCAACGTGCCGTACACGAATACGCGGTGCAGCGGACTCTTGAACAAGTTTTCATACATTTTCGAAAATCGCGGATAACTAGATTACATGTGACTTCCGGTGGCTAACACCCGGATGCGCCGGGAGATTGTCGATTCGAGTCGATTTCGCGGCGATTATGGTCACGCGACCCAATGTAGAGATAAGTTTTATCGATAAGAGTTACACCAAGAATCGAATTATTACTTCGTATGTTTTACAGTAACCTTGGAATGTCAAGATGAAAGAAGATTACGAAAGACTATTTTTCAAAAAGTATTCTTCGAATCTCTTGGAGAACGTTTGAGATTTGCGAGTCGATGGATTCGATCATAAGAAAACGATGAACTTAACATTAACAAACACAGTATAATCGGTATAATTAGTCGGAACACTTTGCACTAGTTGCGTCGGCATCTTTAATCTCCGCGTGGAGGTCACGTGATTATACATCATCGTAATGTCAGGACCGAATAAAAGAATATTTATTTTTCAAAGATAAGCTGTAAAGCGTATATTCGCATTCTATTTCATTGAATCTAATCAGAAACAAAAGTTGAGTGACCCAAATCTGCGACCACGCATATTGCGCATTTTTTTATGGAGTATTTCTTATACTGATTATATAACATATGATAATTATGCAGCATAAAGCGGCGTTTATAATGAAATTTTTTAAAGAAATTGACCAATCATAGAATATGAAGAAAATAAAGCGATTATAATAGGTCAATTTTTTTACGGCTTAAGGTTTAAAGTTTTATATCTTAAAATTTCATTGTAAATGCAGCTTAAGTTGATGCGACAGATATAATATCGACGCTAGATGTCAGTGTTATCGATTGGCGCCATTGTTTAAATTTAGAATTATCTTCGCCATACAAAAATTATTTGATTCCCTAATGTAAAGTCAAATAGAAGGCATGAATAGAGCTTTATTTTGATTTTATCAAATCATTCTTTTATTGCACATTATTTAATAAAAAAACCCTTTTTTTAATTCAGCTGTGCTGCGATATACAAACTATTTAATTCCACGATTTTATATTTCACTTTTATTTTATTTTTATTATCACTCTTACACACGAATATTGAACACACACGAAAGTAGCGATCACGGAATGAATTGCAATTTTAATAACTTGACAGAAAAATGTTCATTTCTAAAATTATACGTAAAATACAACATAAATGCGCGATATGGATTTTACAATATTACATCGTACTTCTTATTATAACGTCGATGCGACTCGTTATCTCGTCTGATAAGAAATCCAAATTCTTCTTCGACGGAAGGGAGTAAAAGGAATCCAGCTCTATAATAGCAATATTAACGAGTACCGCAACGGTAGCGATGTGCAGCAACATTTTCGCGAAGTGCAACGACCGAAAGTGTCAATGTAGTTTCGTTGTGGTACGGAGTTCATGCTCGGATACCCTTGATACAGAGGGTATCGTGTACTGAGCCTTGTGAGATAAGATAAGATTTTCATCCAATAAGATCTCCGAATAATTGCATCACTGATCATACCACCCCGTATGTGTGATGAGCTCAGTTGAAGAATCATGACTCAGATTGAAGTGTCTGGAATTCCTATAAAAAAAAAAAGAATTCTTAAAATGATAATTTTATTGGAAGAAGTTATGCAATGCCAGCACTGGCTGATTGAATGAAATTGCAGACAATCATTCTTTATATAGTATTTACAATGCAACTCTTTCTTTCAATCTCCTTTTTTTACTGATCTCTTTTAAATAAATATATAATTACAATAAATAAACAAATGCTTTACTATAACAATGTGATGTTAACTCACGTAATTTGCACATCTTCGCTTAAAAAAATTAAAGTAAAATAATCTTTGTATAGAATTAAATGACTAATTAAAAAAATAAATTAGCATTGATTTTTGAAACCTTGATTAAAAATATTTTAAATAGAAAAATATTAGAAACAAAAAAGATCGAAGAGAATAATCGATTAAAGGAAATTATAACCATAACACTGATTTTCTTCCGTAAGATTTCGGAACTTGAAGGCAATATAATGGATTTTTCTCTCTTGAGCTCTTTAAAGAGCTCTTCCTCCTCGAATATATCTTCTATCGTTTGATCTTTCTGTCGTCTGCGATACAAAAGGTCTTGAAACTTTGTCCAGTCTTCATTCTTCTCGATGTCATTACCCTATATAAGGATAAGAAAGTTGTAAAGTAAAAATATCTTGAATATATGGAGACTGCATATGAGGAGCAGACTTTCAAAAAGCGTTTTGTTCAAAATTTTTAATTTTCAGGAAACGAAAAAGAACGAAATTCCGCACACAAAAACATTACGTACTTTACAGAAAATAACAATATGCCAATCAGTAGGATGTGAAATATTAAACAAAATTGCTAAACAATTGTTAAAAATATTAAATAAATGCATTTTGTTTGTCTCTAATTAAAAAACATAAGGCACTTTGAAATGTTGTATGTTTTTTCAGCATATAAATTAACGATGAAAAAATTCTTTTTCTCAGAGTAGCTTAAACTTATAATATGAGTCTTTCAACACTGAACACTGCTATCTCTACCCCAAAAAATAAAATTTTGGACAAAATGCATTTTGAAAGTCTGTTTCTCAAGTGATTTAAAAAAAGATTACCTCCAAAAATACATATATCAACCCTTTTCTGGAATTACCTAATAGCATATAAGCCTGATAATACAGACATAACATGAAGTTTTTCAACGTCTTATTCGTCAGGCGATTAACTAGATACAGATACGTGATTTGTAATAATAAGTTGTTCGTGTCCAAAAAATCAGCCGACATGTACATGTATAATATTATATAAAAGCAACTTACAACTTAGGCTCAAGTGTTGCAAATTCAAATTTCCACTAGCTATTATACAGTTGTTTATTGCTATTGTTTCTACTGTAAATGGATGACCAATATATTCGTCGTCCAAAAGCTTTTCCGAGAAACAAATATATTTTATTATATTTTACATCTCTTAATGATATATTACGAAACATTAATAGTATATTAAAGAACAATAATAAAAATTTGATTAAATACTTGAATAGAGCTGTTCGACATAGAATTAGATGGGATTCTCGTCTTTGATGAACTATCTTGACTCGCTGCATTTTAAAACTATTATGAAACGAATTTTAAAATAAATTAGAGGAAAAATTGCGCTAAACATACTTTTAGGATTTTGATGCAGATTTCGGTATAAACATATTCCATTTTCTTCCTCTTTTTGAATATTTCGACTGCCCAACTGTAATAAAAATAATCATTAATTTATTAACAAACAAAGTAACGGCGAGATGATCTATCAACCTTGCTTTCCAGCTCGCTAAATTTGCGACGTCTAAGAGCGACGATTTCTTCATGAGTCAAAGTGAACCTATCGCGTCATGTTATTAAAGATAGCGGCCTAAATTAAGAAATTTGTCTAATTTAATCGCTACTGTCAAAGATATACATGGTAAGTTCCTGAATTATCAGTGAAACGCCGTCATCGTCTATCTTATTTCCGGTTAACACCACGCTCTGCAAAGATCTACGAACATGTTAGCGAACGTTACTTTATTATAAAATTACTTTTGCGCAGAGACAGATTAATGTCCATCAAATTCGAAATCTGAGAAATATTTGAAAACTACATAACCGATTAGTTCGAAGCATCTCAGCGATATATTTGGCACCAGTGTTTGTAATGTCATTATCCGCTACATTGAGAGCGATCAATTTTGGATCATTTGGTGGGTCCTGATACTTCAACTCGTTTGTGATCTTTTGTATACCGTTATCGGATAATTTACACATTCTCAGTGATAGATAATGTAAACTGGAACATGTATTTTTTCATATAATTTATAAATGAAGCGAGAATTATATTGGATGGGATTATATTGTAATTCGCGATGCACTTTCTTGCCGGTGCGCAAAGCAGGTAATAATTTTCCTGCGGATTCGGATTGTCATCTAGATTCAAATCGTTCAAACATTCAAATTCCATCAACATGTGTGTTATCTGCAGGATACCATAGGCATTTATCCGACAACTGGGTAATCTAGAACACAATCATCAGTTGTCACAATGTCAAATTACGTGGTCGATTTTCAAATTTTGTCTTACTTAAGCACCGTGATAGTGTTATATTTCTGCAGCGTAGTGGTCAATGCATCGAGGATGCAAATCGACACTTCCTGTCGTGCAACATGAAAAACGTTACAAAGCACATAAAGACGAATGTCACAAACATCACAATTAATTGAAAATTTAATAATTAGTAAGCATTAGTGTATCTTCACGACTTATCTTTACATTCTAGTTTCCTCACAGTCTCTTTCTTTTCAGGATGTTCGAAAGAAACGTAAAAAATAGGGATATTCTTGTCCATTTCGACTCTGATTAAAATAAATGTGAATTTCAAAATCCGAATTGGGGAATAGTCGAAATACTCATAACAAATTTGATTAGATGCTTTAATGCGTTGATGTATATTAAAGCCATAGCACATTAATCTAGTCTGAATAAAAATGAAATGAAAATATCTTGAATGATAAAATGCACTCTGAAAAAAATCACAAAGTTATATAACGAAATCATGCAATTAAACTATGTAAATTATGTAATAAATTGTTTTAAATCAGTACGTGATTTAATTTTTTAAAATCATTTTATAATTTGAAATCACATGATGATATGTTTTTTCTTCTTCTACTTCTTCTATTTCTATCATATAATTATTAAAAATTTGATAATTATAAAATCATATGATACATGAAATTATTTCTAATGATGTGATTTTTTAAAAAATGTCATTTAAAAAAATCATGTATTAATTTGGAACAATCTGTTATGTGATTTACTTGTTTTAATTATGATATAGTTATATAACTTTGATATGATTTTTTTCAATAGGACATATTTTTATCAAACAGCACAAAAATGTATATTGAGGATTTCACAATTTAACTCATTTATATATTTATATTAAATACATATTTTTACATTGATTTGTATACGATGGCTTTAATGTGTCAAATTAGTTTGTCAAATTCGTTATTACTTTTCTGATTCAATCTTCGCGTATTTCTCTGTGCCATCTCTGACCTGTAAAAGAACAATTTCTATAATAAACATTAATTATTAACGCAGGTTTCTGATACGATAATATTTATGGAAATTTACTACAAAATTAGGTAACAATTCTATGTCTTCGTATTCCTCGCAATGTGTCAAAAACTCCGTAATAAAATTTTCTTCTTGAGAATTCCTTCTCGAATAATCTGTTATAGCAAATAATATTAATAAAAAATTTTATGTATTATTTATTGTAATTCTACAAACGTATTCTTCTTTTAACTCCTTATAACTTTTCTAACAAGAATACTAACTGTTTATTGAGGATTCTTCATTTGCGTCATTTATTGACGCAGCGTGCTTGCTTTTCCTGTTTGGCATGTTTAACCTCTTAATATTATTTGTTCTGCGATTTCTATTGTGATAGAAAAGAAACAAAATGACAAAAAACGCATGAAAAAGCGTTCTATATATAATGGTCGCTTTCAAAGAAGTCAGCATTTAATAAATAAGCTTTGTGTCAATTGGATTATACTTTTAAACCTAAAATCTAAAAAAATAATCCTATTTCAACGAAGGAA